CCTTGGAGAAGTCTACAAAAAGTGTATACACTTTACTTCTCTTTTTACCTAAATATCGCTGAATGATTGATTGCAATATCAAAATATTGTAGAGTAGCCCCGACGAAAGCCAGCCTGGGATTCGACAAATTTATCACATGATTCACCCCAAAATTGTAATCTCTTATTTAATATGTTAGTGTAGACTTTATTTAAAGCACTCAGTATTGTTATACCTCTGTAGTTGGTTGGTATTTTAGTATCACCCTTGTTGTGGAGGGGAACAATAACTCCATGTGTCCACATAGAAGGAAAGTATGCAGTATCAAACATTGCATTAAATATTAACGTCAAGATTGGACAAAGTATATCCTAGCATATTTAAACATTTCAGTTATAAATTTATCTGCACCAGCTGATTTACCATATTTTTAAACACAGCAGAAGGATGGTGACAGGTAGAGTGCATGTTCATGTTGGTTGTACTACTAGGCCTCAAAGTTGCGACTAAAACGGTAGCCAGTGCGACCTAAATTTCTGTTTGTCTACTGTCTAAAGCTCAGAAGTGAAGTGAAATTGGGCTTAACATCACATCCAAGATTATTGAACTTGTCTTGCGACGTGCATGCACGTGTGCGTGCGTGCGCGTGTGTGTGCTAGTTCGGACTAATGCCAATTTGTTGTGCTAGCTCACCGAGATACCATACTGCATTTTTACGTGAATACCCCACTCAGACACAGTACACTGACTCTAAGCCGACCAGTCCTTGTGTTAGCCCCTTTATGCCGAGCGCCAGACAGGGTAACAACAAGTTCCATCTTTCAGCGTCTTTTAACGCGGCCAGGGATCGAACCCCCGGACCTTCCGCTCTACCACTAGACCATGGAGGCGGTCCCAAAACTCAGAGGAAGCCAAATGACTACCTCAAAAAATATCTTGTGGTGACATTTGGTGCTATACATCTGTAGACACAAAAATAAATAACAGCTGATATTTGAAAACACGTCGGGTAATAATTGTACTAGCAAATGACTCCTTCTAAAGTCGACAATAAACCAAAATACATAAACATTAATGTAATTAGTATTTTATTTTAGCACACGATGCTCATTTGATAAGCAAGGATATACCTATATAATCTGGTAACATAAATTGTGCAGCATTTGGTTTCAAATGTTAATTTTAGTGCAGCAGAATAGAAGGGGTATACTATTGCCTTGTGACTACAGTGGAATCTGTCCAATTCAGACTCGGGTTGGGACTGGTAAAAAAGTCTGGTTTACGGCAAGATCTGGATTACACAGAGTACAAAATGTTGGACTTACCATATTTGCTGCAATAAGCGCCCAGGGCGCTCTCAAAATAAGAAATAGTGGGCTCTTATTAGAGTATTATTTTTGGTGAAAAAAAGTTCAAAGATTGTAAATTTAGTGGTTTATGCCGAAAGCCTGAAATGTTTATATACGACAGATATATTTTTCCAGAATTTAATTGCCCATAACTAAGGGTGCATATAACACGAGTGCGTATTATACACAAATAAATAAGTCATGTGCACATTGGTCAATCTGAAGGGGTGCTATTTGGGATTGTTCACAAGCCAATATATTAGTAAATATCGCCGTGGGCGCTTATTAGAGCGGGGCGTTTATTACGTCGAATACGGTAAGCCAAAAGATATATATCTGAGATAGTCTGCTTACTGATGCCATACACGTGAGTAAACTAGCCTGACGTAACTCGACCCAAAAAGTATGAGAATATGTACTTTACAAAACAAAGTGTTATCCCAAATATAACATTTGTTATAAATAATGTTTTCATTATGACAGTTCATTGTCAAGTTATCAGGGTTACTTATGCCTGACAATGACCTGTGGACTGTATGTTGTTTATCAAAGGTTATTTATTTGTATTTTTGTGAACCAAATAACTTACATTTTAGGAGGGGCAGATGCAATATCTTTAATTGAAATAGTTGTAAACTAGTGTGTAATATTATAATAGGTCAACAGACGTCCGGGTTTTTTTTAATGTGATTAGTTGTATGTAAGTACAGTCATGTGCGGGGAAGTATACGGGAAACGTTAAATTTGTGGCATGTATGTCGACATGTTGGTTTATTTGAAATTTCAAGCCACGCATTTACGGAAACAAAACATACAAATCATGTGCGTCGAATGTTGATGCTATTCTTTTCCAGCAATAAGAGATACTTCAAAATCGTCTTTATGTAGTTAATTGATGCATCTGACCGTTTCTGGTCATTAGCGGACATTATTAAACCATTCATGTGTAATCCGATGTCCTTTTTTCCTCAAGGACTAATTTTCTGATTTTCACGGTGCATACAAAAGAAAAACTGTGCACCGGAGATCGTAAATAACAGCATAATAAAAATTATGTTCTGAATATGCTTATTCATGAACAACGACGACATCTCAATTTAAATGTAATATGGCTGAATTCCATATTCTACATACCACACTTTTGATTGTTTGGATGCTCATGTTCACTTGAAATATTTGGAATAGTTATATTTCGTATTTTGAATTAACCCAGTGCCCCGTGTGTTTTTTTTAATCAGTGCACCGCACATAACCACATGTGAAACGTTTGGTAGCAAAGTCAAAGCAAAATCGGAGTAGTGTGTCAGCGAATTTGCATCAAGGCTGTAGTATTTTTCAACCGTTTAATGGAATTCAATGTACAGCCGTAGTTCTAGTCACTCATATATTTTGTGTCCCATAGCTCAAATCTATTTGCATCTGTACCGTGTTCCACTGACCTCGATAATCTGTTGGATGAAGGCACAGCTCTCTACAGCCACAAAGTTAACACCGAAGGCTATGAGGAGTATTTAGGTCATAATCAGTTCCCAGCAGCCACTGCCTCAAGGGATATTGTCTACATAACAGATCAGTTTTATGGCTCCGTCACAGGTGCTCCAAATATTGAAGCAGGGAAAACAAATTTCATAGAATCATTTCAAAAAGCAATATTGATATCCCTGTCACTTTTGGTAACTTTTAATGATGTCTCCATTGCAGTTTTTACGGATTTCGATTCGTATGCATTATTTGACTGTCATCAGCGGAATGGTCTTGGTCAGATTGATCCGAATGGACAAGCGGTTTTACTTCTGTTTAGTAGTATGGATGAATTGTCATGTTACATCTTAACAGTATATATATCAGGCGACTATGCTTGTCGTAAGAGGCGTCGATCCCAATTGCGTCGATCGATGCTCATGATATTACAGGCACTGGATTGTCTGGTCCAGACTTGATTATTTACAGAATGCTGTAATATAGCTGGGATATTACTGAGTGCGGCGTTAAACGACAAACCAATCAATCATCATCATATGAACTCAAACCAGTCATTGTTACAAGTAAACCACATTCCACAACAGTTACTGACACTGGATAAAAAACAGTATATAGAAAAAAACCAAGTAACTCAACTCATCATGATCACAATTACTATTCTTTGAAAGAAAGAAATACAAAAAAAACTGACCAAAAAACGTAAAACAAGAGACGAGGAATCTCCGTTATTGATTAGTCCCGGTATTGAAATGTTCTCCAACTACGTGATAATATTTTGAGTATGTGCATCTGTGGTTGTGACAAAAAGACCTTATCTAGTATGACTTTTTTGCCATATGGAGCCCTTAGTATTTTCATTTACATTATTATAACCAAATGCTAAGTGTAAAGAGAATGTGATCTATTTTTTGAGTATGTGCATCTGCCAATGTTGTTGGCAGTTTTGATACTATTTCCACATGTTTACATTTGTGCCAGAAATTGCTTCGATTTCCTTCGATCTACTTTTTAAATAAAGACCCAGGTAAGAATAGGTCTTCAGCAACCTATGCTTGCCGTAAGAGGCGACGAACAGGATTGGGTAGTCAGGCTTGCCGATTTGGTCGATGCATAACATCATATTCCAATTGCGTATTTCTATGCTCTTGGTGTCAATCACTGGATGATCTGGTCCAGACTGGATTATTTACAGACCTCTGTCATATGGCTGGAATAATGCTGAGTGCGGCGTTAAACAAGAAACTATTTTTAAATAGACCTACCCTATGCAAATGTATCAACTGTATTGCCCCAAACTCAAAATAAATAATATTTTTTTCCACAACAGCGTTGTGTTATTTGTGGTTAATATAATTATGCTCCATCATGCCTTTCAGTAACATCATAATTATGCGTTTGTGAGGCATCACATATGGCGGGGAACTTTGATGCTTAGTCTGTCTTACAGACCCTGATACAAATATATATCAAATACAGCCCATGCAAGTCTATAATGTTTGGTAAGTGTAGATCACTGCAGTATCTGAAAATGAAGAGAGTCACTGGGCTCCTTTTTATTATATTTTTATTAAGATAACTGAACAACTGTTTTTTTATGTACGATATGTTCATTTCAGAGACTAGATTTTAGTCTATTTGATGCTCTGCATCAATGTTTTCTTGTATATATGTCACATGCGACAGGCTTGACCAGAGGCGGTCATCCGTCAGGCTCGTCTCCCTACTCCCGCGTATGTCATTCCTCCCCGAGAACCCAACACCACCCGTCTGCAGAACCCCACCCCACCCCACTGGGCCACACCCTCACGCTCCCTCCTACAGGACCCCACGCATGTGATATACATAACCAGCAGCAATAGGCCTGACCCCAACCCCACCCCCCAACCCGACCCAAACTGAGCAGGAAGCAAGTAACATACTTAACTTTGAAGTTTATCTACAGTTACAACATGTACAGTTGAACGCGTTGAACATGTTGAACACAAACTCAACACATGGCATTGGTTACATACAAGTACAACGAATGACAAAAAAGAACTGGGTGACATATAAATACTATCAGTACGCTAAAAAATCGTCCGATGTCCCGTGAACCATGACCTGACCTCGTCATGTAATCAGCTGGAAATGCAGATTTCGACTGACCTAAAGTCGAACCTCGACACTTGAAGCAGTTCATGTATGCTTACCATATTTCACATGCGACTTGGCAAATTGCTGACTCCTAATTATGTTTCTTCCCAGACTCGCCATCTTGCAGTTTCGACCGATCAGCTGCTGAGTTTGTTGTGGCTAACGGGAATGGTTGGTTCAATCCGCCTACAGCTGCCTTTACCCTTGGATGACAAGGACGCTCATTGGACAGGGCTGTCGTGGTGGCGAATCAGAGGCATTTGTCTTTGTGACGTGACCGTGTTGAGAAATCAGTGAATAATTGTATACTTATCGTTTTCTTTGACCTACATTTGTTGCAATGTCTTTGTGTCACTTTCTGATAATCTAAAGGATTCTGGACTGGATACATGCGTATACATATGCATATATATATATATAGCATTATAACATAAGTCCCTACAGAAACTCCTTAATAATAATAATAATAACAATAAAGTAGTATAGGTAATGGGGGTTCTGGACCACTTCCACTGGAGCCGGATTCATATACCTATACTACTACTACAGGTGGCTTTTTTTATGCCAAAATGATTATGCAATTCAATGATAGTCATGATATTAAGTTAAATTGGGTCTAGCTCACGAATACCTGGGGCCAATCATTGCTTCTATTAGTATAAAAATGATGATGCGATTCAACGAAAGCCGTTTTAAAAGAACTATCAATATTAATTAATAATGGATAAAATTTACTATAGCCCACGAGGATATTGGAAAGGTGTAGGTGCAATAAAAAAATTAGCCACCGCGGCTAAGGTATCTAAAGATGTGGCCAAGGATTGGTTAAAGAAACAAGCGATGTGGCAGATATATTTACCAGGGTTATATACCGAGGAAGAAGTTTGATATTTTTATAACGAATGAAGTTCATCAGGCTGACCTCTTGTTTCTTCCCCACGATAAGGTAAAACGCAAAACGTATAAATACGCTTTAACAGTAGTGGATGTGGCTAGTCGATACAAAGAGGCTGAGCCATTAACCTCGAAAGAATCAACAGAGGTAGCTAATGCACTGAGTCGCATATATAAACGCGGACCGCTAAAATGGTCTAAGCTATTTCAAGTTGATCCCGGTTGCGAGTTTATGGGATCTGTAACTAAACTGTTAACAAAGCACGATGTCAAAATCAGGCGTGGTGAAAGAGAGGCCCACCGCAGTCAAGCTATCTTCGAAAGATTTAACAGGACATTAGCGGAACGTTTGTTTGGCTATCAGTATGGGATCAAAATGAAATCGCAACGATTGAGATCAACCGAATGGGTGAAACGATTATCAGCTGTTGTATCAGCGCTGAATAATGAAGTAACGAGATTAATAGGGAAGAAACCATCCGATGCGATTAAAATGAAATCCGTGACTTCCGAATCTTCAGCACCGAGGAGAGGCAAAGAACGAAAACTTCCGGATAGAGTAAGGGTAAGATATTAATACCAGCCCGGTGAACTCGAAGGAGGCCTACGTCGCGCAACCGATCCAATATGGTCCCTTAAGACGTATAACATTAGTCGATTGGTTACGAAAGAAGGAGAACCTATTCTTTATTATCGTCAAGATGGACCGGGTAGGGCATTTGTACGAGAAGAGTTGTTCATAGTTCCCGACGGTACGGTATTACCACCATAACCATAAGCATAGGTAGTTACACCATCATTATCAATCCATCTCTTTGTATCTAAGGGGGATAATGATGTCTTGTTCATTCTTAATCCATATATCCTATGATTGTAACTTCTTAAAGAGTTCATCTCGTGTTTGAACGTTCTACCGTTGAATAATGATTCTTTATACTGTTCGTGTTTGATATGCTTTTTTACAACATACTTCTTAACGCCCTTGGCTTTTCTTATCTCTCCATTATCGGACTTCTTTATAGAATACATCTTAGGTCTTAATCCTACATACTCGGCTATAGTGGTCCCAGCACATTCATCCTTCATCTTACCTAACACCTTTTTATTTACTACGCTGTGCAGTGGATTATCTTTAGGGTAATCGCTCGTGTCGTACATATCTATTTTTTCTGCCATATCTTTATACACATCCTCGGTTTGTATTTCCATCAACAAAGAATCTGTGTCGGTATATAACACCTCGCATCTATCGCCGTATTGCTTCTTAAGTTCGTTGTAATAAAAGTCATACATTAAGTGTTTTGACAAGTCGAGAATACTCATACCGACGTACACCGGTCTGTTGAATTTTATATTACTCTTCTGCATATGCAACGCGGCTAAGTTGTTATCGAATATCTTGCTTCTGTTAAAAGCCGGACTGGCTATAAGTTTCCTGAGTCTTTCTTCCTCATTAGATCTGACTAATTAAACATCAACACGCTTCCTTAGATTCTCCATAGTTTTACCAAATACTGAGTTATTCATGAGCTTATATAGATTCTTTTCGAAATCGCTGGTAGCTATCTTTCTTAAATCTGTGTTCAACCTTATATAGGGCTCCATCCAAGGGCTTTGATCGAACTTTAGAACTCTGTGTATTTTCTTAAGTTTCATACCTAACGATAGATACAACTGGAGATTTCTGTAGTGAACTATATATTTTGTTTTATCCATCAAATTTGGTATGAGTTTTTCTACGTTAGCTAACCTACTATTACCCATCAAGGAGCGTTGATATTCCGACATCCAATCTTTATTAACCATTAATCTTCCGGGAGCTAGCGGATAACTGTTATGGTCTTTATGTAACAAACTTGGATATTCCAAGTCAACTTCTAGTATGTACCCTTTATTCGCATCATTCACTTCGATATCATTCTCATCGACCCACTCAAAACCACCCGTGGGTAAAGGTTGACTCATAGCCCATCCGTACAAATTGTTAGCGTCGAGATATAATATGTGCGTATTGGGTTTACTGGGATCGTATCCTTCCACTAATTTATTATTAGCCTTAGAATACCTTTTCGCTACCATCGATATACCACCTCTTAATCCTTTCTCAATAAACAAGTGCATATCGTAATCTGTGAGTAGTTTTAGTTCTACGCCGGTCTTCTTCAACAATGCATCCCACGATAGTCCGGGACTGGAATAGTACCATGCCGGGTCCAAGCCGTATTGTTTTAAACACGTCTTTCTAAATATCTCGAATATATCAGCGAGTAACAGTACATCGGTTTTTAAGTACAGATCGTGATAATCGCCTAAATTCTTACAACCTAATTTATTCCAGACCGTCAGAGCGTGTTCATAATCGGCATCGGTTATTTTAGATTCTGTTAAGTTACTATAGAATGATTCGAGGGGTGGTAATTCAGTTTCTTCGAATCTAGACCAATCATCCATATATTCGTAAGGATATGCACCTTCTCTCAGCAACAAATGACGAGTTGTCTTATCGGTATATTGATTTGTTATCGCAAAGTCATCGGGATTGTTCGCATTAGCTAAATAGTCCAGGGAAGATAACAGAAACTGTACGGAGTCTATGAATCTAAGCCCATTACTTTGCTTTATTCTGGATTTCCCATCCTTGTCCCTATAATGTATAGGTTTAGTCAACGAGAACGATATGTATTTTTCCATATTATTAGGAATGCACGTTAAACCGCCATTGGTCTTTGAGATAGCTTGCATAATGAGATGTGAATCGTATCACCTAAGGTTATGAAACACAACGGGGATGGGTATTGTTTGAGAATTCATTTTTAATTTCAAGTTACACTCGTTATGAGCGGCCCCCCAATAATTACCCGTGACGTGACAATGATCTCTTACGGAATCCCCATCCAGGGGTTTATTACAAACGTGACAACTCGTTGACTTCTTATGGGCCCTCCAATCATCCCTCCTCATACACATGGGTTTCTTACACGATAATTTTTCCCTGATAATTCTCTCTTCATTTTGTAGATATTCTAGGAACTTTCCCGCTGCATCAGGACCTCTGTAAATCACGGGCGGGTTTGTTTTCCCATCATACCTTACAACTATATATCCAAACCCACAAGGAATATGTTCTTGAGTTTTGTACGTAAAACTACTATCTTGATTATTTTCTATGGGTTTGATAAGCGCTTCGAAGTCAGCGTAAATTACGTACGGTACTGGCATTTGATTACAATAATGTTCAAATTTTAATATATTTTTTCCGTCTTTAGGCATATCGATCCTGATAGCGGTCTGTCCAACACCTCTACAGTCTTCTTTATGCGCTTCTAATAGATCTTGTCTGCTGTACCCATGTAGGCATCTTTCGCAGAAATATTTCTTTTCCTTATGTTTTGTTTGATCGTATAATAGCCTGTTTAAACTCTTTATCCACGTATAATGATATTTACCATCTTTTTCGATCAGAAATGAATCGATTCTGGGGATATGTTCCGGAGCGGAGCTTATCCTGTGTACAACAATTCCTTTAGAATGTCCGAAAACATTTATAGCTAAATTATTTTGCTTTTCCACCTTATCAATTTTTTATATTGGTGTAGGTTCGTCTATACCATCAAAGTTGAGTCCATCGTTTTGGGGATAGCTAGAAGGTCTATCCGGATGCTTGTCTACGGGGAACAATGCAGATCTTATCATCATGCTTAAACAGTCATCGGATTTATTTTTTACGTTAATTATGGCTTTTTTCTTCTTATAATACAGGGGTAAATCTATATAAGATCCACCTTTGAAGGGCATATAATTTGCTATATCTAAATATAAACTATCGATTTTATCCACACCCCAACCCGAACCTCTATCAGTCCAGCGTTCTAAAGTTTCCTGTATCCTCTGAATTGATGTATCTAATGATGCGTTTATAGTATCGGATTCGGTTATAACTTCTTGATTGCTACGGAAATATGTTTCGGTATATTCCGTGCTATCGTCTGTGTTGCTTTTACTCAATAACATTTTAATCGTCAGCTGGTATTTTATACTATGTAAATCATCTAACTCCTCGTTAATTTTACTCGATATGATGGGCTTAATATCGTTAACATCCATGTTGGAATTAATATCCATCTTCCAACCTCTTAGATATTTACCAACGTCGGAGGATGTGGGTACAAATATTAATTCTTGTTGTTGATTATTATCAACATCATCATTATGTTGAATATCATTATTATCTAGTAAAGCGATCAATTCAGCTCTTCTCATTCGAGAATAACCTCTCAGCCCACTGTTTCTCGCTTGATCTTTGAGTTCCCTAACAGTCTGGGGTTTGTTGTATTCCAAACCGAGTAAATCAATCAATTCAG